GGCGCAAAAGTTGGCTTGAAACTCAACATTAAGAAAACTAAGATCATGGCATCCAGTCCTCTCACTTCCTGGCAAATAGATGGGGAAGAAATGGAGGTAGTGACAGATTTTGTTTTCCTGGGCTCCAAGATCACCGCAGACGGGGACTGCAGCCAAGAAATTAAAAGACGCTTGCTCCTGGGGAGGAAAGCTATGGCAAATCTAGACAGCATACTAAAAAGCAGAGATATCACCCTGCTGACAAAAGTGCGTATAGGTTTTCCCAGTTCCCAAGGCTATGGTTTTCCCAGTTGTAGTATATGACCGTGAGAGTTAGACCATAAGGAAGGCTGAGCGCAGAAGAATTGAGGCCTTTGAATTGTGGTGCTGGAGGAGACTCCTGCAAGTCCCTTGGAGAGCAAGGCAATCAAACCGGTCAGTCCTAGAGGAGATTAACCCTGGCTGCTCTTTAGAAGGCCAGATACTGAAGATGAAACTCAAATACTTTGGCCACCTAATGAGAAGGAAGGACTCCCTGGAGAAGAGCCTAATGCTGGGAACAATAGATGGCAAGAAAAGAAGGGGACGGCAGAGGATGAGGTGGCTGGATGGAGTCACTGAAGCAGTTGGTGTGAGCTTGAGTGGACTCCGGGGGATGGTGGAGGACAGGAAGGCCTGGAGGAATGTTGTCCATGGGGTTGCGATGGGTTGGACATGACTTCGCGACTAACAGCAACAACATATTTTAGGGCCTGCTTTGTTGTTTTAGGCTGTTATCTAGGCCCATCCTGGAAATATTTACATTGAGGAATGGAATATATATCCTTAAACTAGAAGCATTTAAGCATTATAGTGAAGTGAGGCTGCAGGAACTCCCTGGCTCCTGTTGCCAACATGACTAGGGCCAGCCCTGCCAGGGATGGACAGCTGCCCTGGCCACGATTCTTTGGGCCACTTCCTGCTGCTCTGAACGAGGTGCTCTTCCCAGGACGATTGGTGGCCATGGTGACAGTGCTACCTTGGTTCAAAGAGCCACACTCTGAAATGCATCTGAGAGTTTGGGCACCATGCTAAGATAATGACTGCATTTAACTTCTCTGTCTCACACATGAATTGCTTTGCTTAAAAGTGTGACTTCTGCATTGCTAACTGGGCTGTGGACCCACTGAGGAAATTTTAATCCATATGCGTTTTAATAAATCAATAAAATGTGCACATGGTTACACTGCTGGCTGTGATGCAGGTTCCTGACCTTTGCCAGGTGGACGCATGTCGCAGCACACAGAATCCGAGAGGTGGGACTGCATGTGCCAGGTGACCTTTCTTCAGCTCATGCAGTTGCCACCAGAAGTGCTCGGGGTTTTAGATGCACCTGCATTTTAAAAATCTGCCCAACTTTAAATCTTTTTTAAACGATTTTTTAAAAGGCTGTTTTTAAAAAACCTGTCCAATTAATCATGGACACATTCTACAGTAGCAATTTCACCCATGATCCAACTAGACATTCCATTTCAAGCTGCTCATGTGAATGGTGATGTGGATTTAATAGCCTTTGTAAGTGTGCGGGCAGTGTGATCACAATCTGATGCATGTTTCAGAGGACAGTCTGTGGGAAGCCAACCTCTCTGGACACAACCTTATCCATATTTTGACAGAAAAATCCTACAACTCCCAGCATGCCCTGTCTTTTGTCACAGAGCTGCTGGGTTGGCAGCAGCCAACAATCTCCACCATGGGAACTGGCTGCTATTTTCCTTCAGCTTCTAGGAGCACACGTGTGCCCAGTTTCTTCACAATACCACTACGAGCAGCCATTTATGTGCCACGGAGTGCGGCACAACTGACAGTGCACTGTGCACAATGACCCCAAAGTAGCAGCCTTTAAAAATCTGAAAGGGGACCACAACCACCAGGGGAAGAACACCCTTCTTTCACCTCTAAAGGGTTTTGCACTAGAGCAGTCTTCCCCATCTTGGTACCTGTCAGATGCTTTGGATTGAAACACTCATCACATATGAATCTTGGCCAGGCTGGTTGGGGCTGATGGGAGTTAAGGTCTAAAAACTTTGGCAGTCATCTTCTTGGGGAACACTGTGCTAGAGAAAGCCATCTCACCCATTGGCATTACTTAAGAAGCACACACTTTCCCAGTATTATCAATGTCTTCAGAGAAAACTCATTGCTTCAGTGAAGAAAAACATGCTTATGGGTGCCAGGAATGTAAAAGTTCCCCAACAAGCTGATTTCATCAATCCCCTGTACGTCTTAGCCAACATTGCAATGTTCTTTCTCAGAGTTCATCGAGCGATTCCTGCCTCGGGAGCTCCAGATTGTCAAACGCTTGGACCACAAGAACATCATCCGGGTGTATGAGATGCTGGAGTCAACAGACGGGAAGATCTACCTGGTGATGGAGCTGGCGGAGGATGGGGACATCTTCGACTGTGTTCTGCAGGGAGGGCCACTGCCCGAGAGCCGAGCCAAAGTGCTCTTCCGCCAGCTGGTGGAAGCGATCCGCTATTGCCACAGCTGTGGTGTGGCGCACCGTGACCTGAAGTGCGAGAACGCCCTCCTGCAGGGCTTCAACCTGAAACTGACTGACTTTGGATTTGCCAAGCTGCTTCCCAAGAACCGTAAGGAGCTAAGCCAGACGTTCTGCGGCAGCACGGCCTATGCTGCTCCCGAGGTGCTGCAGGGTGTGCCCCACGACAGCAGGAAAGGGGACATTTGGAGCATGGGCGTGGTGCTCTACGTCATGCTCTGTGCAAACCTGCCCTTTGACGACACAGACATCCCCAAGATGCTTTGCCACCAGCAGAAAGGGGTCTCCATTCCCGGCCACTTGGGGATTTCTGAGGAATGCCAGGACCTCCTCAAAAGCCTGTTGGAACCAGACATGATCCTGAGACCTTCCATCGAAGAAGTGAGTTGGCACCCGTGGTTAGCAAACTCCTGAGAAAGGACCATGTCAAAACTCTCCCCAAATAAAAGGGGACAGGCTGTTTCCAAAATGCTCACATACATTTTAATGTTATGCTGTTTCTCGTCTATCCTTACCCCAACCCACTCTGAAAAGGGGTGGGGAAAAGAAGGGTTAGAGTGGCAGACATGTTGTCCTGCTTCTTCTGCTGAGGAGTACAGCCAATGCAGCACTGGCTGACAGAGCGCTAGGTGTCTGGAAATAACTGCAGGCCCCCACAATGCAGTCAGATGATGCTTCCGGGCCAAAGCTTTTCCTTTCTCTTTCTCACTCATACAGTCCTTTTCAAGTTCACATCCGAGAAATGGTCCATCAGGACTCAAGGAAGTGGGTCAGTGCCATCTTTGAATGGCACTATTTTTAATGAGTGTCACTCTGGAGGTCTGGTTCACACCACACTTTCTAAGAGGAGTGTAAGAAGCTCCCTTAAACCACACCAGAGGGCTTGTCTGTCCAGAGCAACCACTCGTTTCTGGGGTCTCCATCCCATCTTTCATGGGATGGAGAGAGCCTCCAGCCAAGGTCCACTGCAGCCCCAAGACAAACAAGTGGCAACGTCCAGAAGCCGCAGCTGCCTTGCCCAGCATCTGCTGGTGGGGCTTCTGAAGGAGAGCAAGCGTCAGAAGTGGGGCTGCTAGCCTACTTTCATAACAGGTTCTTGTGAGTGGAAAAAAAGTCAAAGGAGACGAACATGAGCAGGTCATTACTGTAGAACTCCTTTAATCGCTGTTAACGGCAAGTCTGTAAAAGGTTCAGGAAAAGTCGTAATTACAAAACTAACAGCTGTTAGAGTCACTTATTCACCCCAGCTAGAAAACAGTCCAGGGGATGTAATATAATTTAAAAATGAGAAAATATTGCACAACCAAGAAATAATTAGCTAAGGAGATCTATGAGAAAATCAGAACACAGCGCTCGGGAGATGCCTCCTTGGAAAAGAATTTGGCTCTGTGCTTCCCTGTTCTGCCCCGGCTACACACCCCAGGAAGCAGGCTGGCCTGGCCCCCCTCAGCACCATCCTTCCTTGACCCTTTGCTCAGCCGATCCGGTGTCACGAAGCTCTGGCCCCAAAGCATGGCAGAGGGTCGACAGACATCACCGCAGCAGCAGCGGGTGCAGGGGGCCCTCGCGCATCTGCCTTCGAGGGCGGGGGGAAGCCCCGGGACGCAACTCCCTTCCCAGTCCGCATCCTCCTGAGCATCTTGGTTTCGTGGCCTGGCCGGGCCACCACGCAGACCCCGTAGCACATCCAAGGGGCAGCTGCCTCACGGGGATGCAGGCCTTCACTTGAAGCGCCATGCCGGCGCTGTCAGTGGCAGCGGCTGCTTGGGCACACTGCACACGCCTGCTCCCACTTGCCAGTTTCAGAGATGCAGCAGGACAGACAGCCCGCCCACCTCTCCAGAATGTTGCCTACTCTTGCCCAGCAGCAGCTCATTGGGATGGAAGGCACAGGAGCATAACCCTTTCAGCTGAAGGTGACTGGGGAACGGCTGCACGCACAGCGTGTGCGCCACCGACCAATCCCCATTCCGGAAGCAAAGGCCTCACCTGGACCAGAACTCGCCCAGCAAAGAGCCTTCTGCTCGGCACACCCGCTCAGAAACCTGGGCATTTCCCTTCCCGTAAATGCAGTTGCTCTCAGGGCCGGTTTCTACATCGTGCTCCAACCAGGGAGCACTGCTTGCTTGGCAGCTAATGCAAGAGCCTCCTCCAGGGGGCTGGCGCAGCCGCTGGCTGGCAGCTGGTACAGTCCCTGCGGAGAGCTGCCTTCTAGTCTCCGCATGGTGCCAAGTGCTCGCTTCTCATCCCAGCAGCGCCTGGCCACTTCCTCGAGGACAGCTTCCACATTCCTCTCTGGCACTTCGACAGTGCCAGGTAACATAATGGGGGGCATGTATGGGCAGCTGTAGCAGCTGCTGGACAGCCTTCTGGCCACCTGAAACTGCAATTGCCCCTTCCAGCACGAACCTCCCACCCGTCCCAGGAAAGGCAAAGCTCGTACCGCCAGGGACAAACATGAGGGTGTCCTCTTCTTTCATGGCCTTGCCCAGGTAGCATTCAGTTCATGAGGAACTTCCAGGAGGGCTATGTCCCGAAGGGAATAATCTCCCTTTGGGAGCCATTTTTGGAGCCTCGATATGGTCAATCAGTTCTGAGGCCAGGCACAAGCAGCTGGTTCTAGCCTCTTCGCCCCAACTACAATGTGGCCAAGACCAGATCGGGGGCAACTCTGATGGCAGGGGGCAATCCCCTCTCCCCCCAGAGAAAGGGATGGTGCCTCCATAAGCCAGCCAGAGGGATGTGGGCAAGGAAGCAATGATGATCCATAGGCAATTGGAATCAGGTGCAGTCAACCCAACAACTCTTGGCAAATTTCGAGGACAGGTGGGACCTGCCACAAGGGAGAATTTCCAGCAGGCTCGCACAGCCAAATGCCATAGAAAGGGGCTGACAGAGGCTAATCAGCAGCCTTAGCACAAGGGGAGACGAACGAGGAGCATGAGGCTTTGGCAGATGCTGGTCCTGGAATACAGACCTAGCTACGCGAGTTTGCCTAGTAAGGTAACTGACAGAATTATCCCCATGAAAACTGCTACCCACATCCAGCCAAGATGTCTCTTTGAGATTACCGGAACATTTTCCACATATTTTCCTTTCATTTAATTTGACCTTGCCCAGGAGATGCTCCCACTGCGGCTGCATGTCCAAGAAAGGATTCAGCACAAGAATTCTATTTTTCAGATTCTGTGCCTCAATTCCCAAAACAGCGAAGGAGAGGTTTCGAACGGATGTGTGAGTGTGGAGCAAAAAGACTGTTCATGCTCCTGGGTTCCAATCAGGGTGGCAGTAAGAATGGCCAAATGCCATGCTGGAGAGTTTCTCTTAACACGATATAGGGGGGAAAGCAAAGGATTTGCCGCTGTGAATGCCCAGATGCTTTCTGGCTTGCAGATACAGGCACATGGAAGAAGGCGCTGCCAGCCTAGATTGGGAGAGAGTAACAATGCCAAACACATCCCAGGGACTGGTCAAATCAGGTACTTTCCCCACTTCTATCCAAAGCCACCATCAACTGACATCCACCCTCAAGCCAGAAGTCGGGGGGGGGGGGGGTGGCTAGGAAAACAAAATCACACTGAAACAGCTCTTGGAATTATTAGTCCAGGGGCCTTACTGGAAAGCTCTGCCCCCTCTCCTCCCAACATGGTTCTTCGGCACCCTGTGCAATACCAGTCACCATCAGGATCCGTGGCTGTGGGCTGCGGTCCACAATCCCCAGTGGGCGTTTAGCAGAGATGAGATTCAGCCAGCCTGGAACACATTTACACAGGAAAAAGGAACCAGTTGCTCTGTGGTTTAATTCACATTGGATGGTGCAGGTGGGGGCAGGGGACGAGGGAAGAGCCCAGGATGCACTGCAGGGGAAGCGACGGCCCTCACTATTCCCAGTCCTCCCACTCTTCATCTTCCATCTGCAGGGGGAAAGGAGTGACAGAGAATACAAGGAGAGAGCTTTAGAGGGGGGCCACATGGCGTATACAGTTAGACCCACAGCTGTCAGTCAGTCAGTCAGTCAGTCAGTCAGTCGAGGGCACGATCCTATGCATATTTAGGCAGAAAACACCCAACAATTCCAAGCACTCCCCAGCCAGCCACGCTGATCAGTTGTATGCCATCAAATTCAATTCATATGCACCGCAACATTAAAAGCCAAGCCCAGGTGCCTTTAGGCAAAGTATGATGTTCGTATGTTTTCCCATCCAAGGAACTGGCAAGAGCCACCCACCCGCATTCTGCTTCCCGCACCACCCTCTCCCACAGGCTATTCACTGGGCCCCACGTCCAGAAACCTGCTTCAAAACTCCGAAAGTAGTATATAAAGGGCTGCCTGAAGAATTTTAATTGATCACCCTCCCAAGCAGTCGATTCCATTTAGATAAATTTGCCACCTCCAGAAGTCTGGTACTGATACCTGTTTGAAAATGCAAAAGTAGATTTTAACTATGAACAGAAACCACTTAAGAGTCAGAAAAAATAAAATAAAGATGGCCTTTTATCTCTTGACTATGTAAGTCAGTTTATTCTTTTGGAAATAAATGGCTCCCCAAAATAAGCTAGTGCGCTCTTAGCACTCAGTGTTCAAGTTCAATGCTAATATTTTACCTTACTTCCTAAGATGGCTGAAAGTTCAGTTTATTCATCTGTTACTTAAATTGATGCAAAGCTTCCAGACCCCACCAAGCAAGCAGAAGCAAGTTCCTTCTCTCTCTCTCTCTCTCTCTCTCTCTCACGCACTCCTTGTTTTGATGGAGGGCCATCCCTTCCTGTTCTGTGTTTTTGGGGGCCTTCACAAGCCATCTCTTTCCAGTAGAATAAGGACAGTATTCAGAATCAGTCGGCAACCTGATTTTTTAAAATCTGTAGCTGAGGCGAGGGACGGTCAAATATTTCAAGCTCAATTTTGTTCTGTCTCCAAAGTAACTTCTGTCCCATTTCTGCATCAGTTTGTCAATTTTTCTCATGTTTGAAAATTGGACATAGAAATATACAGGAATGCAAAATGTACACATTTTATATCATTTCCCAAGTTATATGCTTTATTGGGCAATTTCTCCTAAGACAAAACATTCTGCAAATGCTTTTGCACTATGCACATGTCGCATGCATTGCCTGATTGTAAATTATGATACCAGTGTTCAGCTGTGTTCTGGTTCATGCAAGCGTTCAAGTAGCGTGCATAAAAATACAAACTGAACTACTGTCACCCCCAGCCCCATTTTAGGCAGAACTGATGAAGGAAAAACCCTATTGGAGTCATTTGGATGGATGTGGAGGCAGCTCCGAAGATGCACGGCACCAGTTCGAAGCTGCCAGTTCAGCAGAGCACAAAAGCACCCTGGTGCTCCCCTAAAGTTCACAGCTGTTCTTGTTCTACAGAAGAACAGGCATAATGTTTTCTAACAAACTTGAGCACTATCATGTGTCCAACATACATACAAGGAACATACTGCTGCAGCATCCCAAATATGTATGCAAGAAAAAAGAAAACCTTGGTGTCCCCACTGAAGACCCCCCCAGGGCTGCAACGTCACGTGCCTTTTCATGGCAGCAAGCTCCTCTGACAAGTGGACTGATTGCTGAGTAAATTAGCAAATGAGGGTTATAAAACTAGGATTTACGATCATGTCTCAGTTCAATTAGAGCGTAATTTTGCAGCTTTGGGTAATTTCTGTCTCCCGGCTTTAGTTTCCTCTCACTAAAATGGGAACAGCAATCAAGCCAAAAACAAACAAACAGAGTACAAGGTATTTGTTTTTATTCCAGGAAAGCCTAAGTAAAAGCTTACTCCTCTAACAACACAGGAAGCCAAGGAATGGCTTTCTCTGGAACTTCTGCAGCCAAGTCAGACCATTAGTTAGTTGCAAGGACTCACCTCTCCAGAAATGTCCACCTTGGAGAGCGCCAGCTGCACTTCCTCTTCCGTCATGTCCAGGTCAAAGTCCTTTTCCCAGTCCTCACTAATATCTGTGCTTGAGCCTGCAACAATAAGCAGCAAAGCCTGGCTGTTCCCTTCCCGAGACTTCTGAGGTTCGGCCATGTTCAGCTGGCTTCAGCTATACTGAAGCACCACCGATGCCTCCTTACAGGCCTGTGTGTGTACTACCGGCTCACGAGAAGCCTCTGTGCATGTCAAATGAGCGTTTTCCCAGAGTTATCAAGGATTAGGAGGAGCATGTGAACAAAATGGTCACCTGGGGAACTCCTGACATGTGCATGCTGAGAGTGGTGGGGGTGGGGCTCATCCCACGATCTCCATCCTACCCACCTTTCTTCCCATTGTTGGAGGGAGTGGATTTTCCACTGTCTGAGCTGAGCTCGAAGAGGCGCAAGTCCGTTGGCCCGTCCTCTCGCCGAGGCTCCGTCCTGCTTGCGACTCTGCTCTCCGCTTGCTCATTTGGCTGCCCTGGACGAGGCTTCGCCTGAGGAGGCGCTGGAGACGGCTGAAGGGGCTCTGCTGCCTCCGGTGGGGAGGCCTGCTCCCCCATGGCATTTCCCTGGTGCCCCAGAGGGAGGTCTCCTGCCCCAGAGAGCGGGGCTCCAGTCTGCAAAGGCGAGGCAGGGAGGGCGATGGGGTGCGCAATCTGCGTCACCGAGGAGAGGCTCTCGCTACTTTCGGATGGGGCTGCCTCCGCTGGGGTGGGGCCCAGCCCAGCCCAGCTTCCCATGGATGCTTCCGGGGTTGGGGCAGCTGCCGCTGCAGAGCCGGGGAGAGCTGGTTTCACCTCTTGGGGAGAATGCAAGTGGACGTGGGGGGATGATGACCCAAGAAATTCCTCTGTGGCAGGAGAGGAAAAAGGGTTTCACTAACATTCATAAGCAATGAAGCAATGCTCAGAAAGTAAACACATACATTAATCAAACTCTTTCAAGAAAAACAGCCCTATTCTCCTCTGTCTGTCATAGGAGAAAACTTAATGGGAAATGGTTTTTGCATGAGTCTGAATCTCAACCGTCTTTCCCACAAGTTTTTCTACTCCATCCTGGCTCCACTTGTCTTGCGCTGATCCAGAATGCGGAGAATGGGATGGAGGAGTCAGCTGACACCCGATCAAGGCACACCAGCCTCCAATTTTTTTCCCAAGGGAATTCAGCCGGCTAAGCTGATCCTGAAAAGCTCTACACAGCCTGGAACCGCTCCAGCACCTGAAGACCACTGCTCCCAAATGAGCTAGCTCCTGTCTTGAGCCCATCAGCCAAGGTCTGGTACCAGGTGCCTTCAAATTTTAGGCAAGACCTTCCCTTTAATGCTACACCAATGACAAAAGGCCCTTATTTGCCTGGAATTCAGTTTCTTGCCTTGGAGGAACCAGATCATTTTTTTTAATTCTTCCAGACTTCTGGCAAGAACCAGTTGCTACAGTATTCACCCATTTTACCTGTTCTCAAAACAGGGTCAATTCTGTGGTGACATTTAGTTGTCATCTTTTGTAATCTATCCCAGTATTGTTTCAATCTGCCTTGGGCATCACTGATAGAAAGGTGGAGCACACACCTTTCCAAGAGATAAGCTGAGTGTCGATGCAGAAAGTCCCAAATAAAAGGACCACGAGGCCCCAACAACAACTTGCTACCCTTGGGAAGCAACTGCAGTCCACTGACCTTCTTCTTCTTCCCAGCCTGGCTCCTCGGAATGAACGCTTTGTTCTGCCCGCTGCTTCAGAGCTTCCCTCCGGACCTCCTCCTGGAGCAAAAAAGGAATGCACACAGCCGTCAGAAGCTGCTCCAGCGGCTTCTGCACGGACTGGGGACACTGTCGCACGTGGCTTTCCAGCAAGGCATTTTTGTGAATATTCTTAGCATGAGGCCCAAGGTCTGAATCTCCCGGGCTGGGAGGTTTCCTGGCACTTGCCACTCGCAAAGCAACAGAGGAAACAAAGAGAGGTCGACAACGCAGGAATGTGAGCAGGGCTGGGGCAGGGCCACACTGGGGGCAGGATTCAGGGCAAGTTGCCGAGAACTGCTGACCGAGGGCGATTCCAAACAGGGCAGAGAAATAAAAAAAGGATAGGCCGGGGGGCGGGGGGGAGGAAACAGCATCCCTTCCACTGTACAACTTTCATGTTGAAAAGCTCCTCCTTTCACAAGAGATGACTCAACACCCCCAGGTAGCCCCCCCTTTCTCCTCAAGGATTCCATGTAAAGCTCCCAGGCTGAGCCTCTAAACAGAGCCAGCTCTGTGGCAGCCTTATTTTCAGACCTGAGCTCTGGTCTGCAGGGTTGCCAGGTGTGTTCTTTGCTCATAGGCCTGGCAGGTAACCTCTTTGGTCAACAGAGACTCAGCTTAGGATGTGCCACCATGGCCAGGCAGGCAATCCCCTACACAACGGCAGCTCCTGACACACTTCCTTACTCTGAGTTCCACGCGACATCCAGAATTGAGTCACCTGACACAGGAGCAAGCTAGATTCTCCGAGCTGCTCCATTCAGCTCAATGCATTGTGCAACACCAGCAACCTGAAGGAGTGTGCTCTGACAGGTTAGGGAAAGCCTAGGAGTTCTCCTGGTACCGGTCCCTTAGCGGGGCACCATCCCATTGTCCCAGGGAAGGCTGAGAGGCAATCGGCTTAGGGGAGGCTATTTAGAGGTGGCAAAAGCAGAAGGGTTTGACATCTAAATAAAGCGTGGTAAGAGATGAAGTGGGGATTGGTCTTTGTGCAGTAAAGACACATGGGCCCTAAGAGTGTTCTGCAGCACAAAGGGGTTCTCACTGGAAAGAGGACCAAAAAGACCACTTTGTGAAGAAACTGAGACCCCCCCCCCCACAAGCAACTGCATGCCGTTTCCTTTGCCCTCCTTGAATGGAGTGAGCACAGCCACATATTCACCCCGCCGGAAGACCTCTGCACACTCACCTGCTCCAGTTGATAGACTTTATAGAAGTAGCGCTGCCAGAATTCCGAGTGGGACACAGCCACGGGCACCTGGCAGCATGGAAGGGAACATCAGCATGAGCAAGGGGCTCTGGGCACAGCTCGTCTCAAGTCAGTAAGGGGCGCCCGAGCTCAACCAATGCGTTGGGGCTACGTTCGTCACCCTTTCCCTGCAGATGCCTGTGCCAGGCACGCCCCCTGCAGACAACACGGAGGTGCCCTACAGGCCACAGGCGCTTGCCAAGCAGCTGCCCTGGGACAGAGCCTCGCAAGCCCAGGATCCCCCTGGTGCTGGTGAATGTGTAAAGATGTTCAGTGTATTTCCTCAACCACTGAAATACACCATGTTCAGCACCCCGTTTCAACAGTTCTAAGAGCAGAAACCACTAGATTTGCTACTGTCCTGACAGAAATCAGGTTGTAAAGGTATCACCCAGCGGCTGCAACAGAGTCTGTTTCACATTTTGAACTTTATGTGAAATGAGCAGTTCTGCCTTTTACTTCTGAAAAGGGATCAGCAACATCCTAGGGAGAATGCTATTTTTAATTTTGCTTATTATTGTATTTTATTAATTTCAATTCTCCTCCCTCATCAAAGCTCTGATCTAAGCAACTGACCTAGAGCATCTGGTCTGAGAACAAGGTTCTGGAAATCAGGGGACTAAGCCATGCCAGGCTGCCTTACCATCTTGGAGTAGAGGGAGCGGATGGAAGGGCTCTTCACTAGCAACTCTGAAATCACCCCTTTCTTCTCCTCTAGATTGAATTGTAAAAGCCAAGCCTCAAAGAGCTCAGGGGGTCCTGTGGGAGGAAAGGAAATAAAATCATCAAACGAGAGCAGACACACAAATGAGCAGCACAGACTTGGATGAAACTCCTGCAGGAATTAGCTGAGGCCTGAAGACACTGCAATGTGGACACGGGGTGCTGGACATTATGCAAAATTTCTCCTGAGAGGCGTGCTCTGTTCCCTGCGGTTATGACGTCTGAACTCCTGCCACCATCTTGCTCATGAGATAACAAGTACATGGACTTTTTCGCAGAGAGTATTAACTCTAGAACCGCAGCTGGAATGACAGGACTGTAAGAGCAGTCCTGCTGGATTCGACTAATGATTTCATGAAGCCTGGTATCTGGGTGAGGCTCGGAAGACTCAGGTATGCCAAGTCGTACTGCTCTGCTCAGATTGTGAGGACGAGATGCAGAGCCTTCCAAGAATTCTTAAGCTCCAGTCCTGCAAACCCCGAAGAGAGACCCTAAGGGGGTGACACAAAAGCGAACAGGACAGACCCCTTCTGCACCCCACTCCTCTACTCAGGCTTTGCTACTGCATGCACAATAAACCATGGGCTTGGCTAACCCTTTTAACACCACTGAAGCAAGTGAAAAGGGGGATACAAACAGTGACGCGGACCCAGCATAAGATTCTCCTGCTCCTCCACACACCACTCTCCAGCCCGTCATCTCACCTGGTTTTAACCTTTCCAATGCAGCCTGCAAGGCAAGCAGATTACTTTCTCTTGTTGCAGGACACACATTTCAAAATTTAAGTGAACCCCACCTAGTTTTGCTTTGTGAAAATAAACAGCATACCAGAGACTGCCCTCCTCACCATGGCCTGCCTTCTTTCTGGAAGGGCTGAATCTCTCCACCCCTACTTTCTCACCTGACTGGCCCTCAACTTACCGTCAGGTTCGTTGCAATAGGTGGCTGGGTCAGACTGAAGGCTGTATAGCCGAGCCTGGAAGAGAAATGGCACTCAGCACGAGAAGCCTGCCGCAGGGGAGTGGCAGCAGTTCTGGGGTGGGGGCAGAGCGGGAGGGCTGTGGAGGTACCTTGGTGCTGTCGTATGGCTCCGTGGTCCCGGAAGGGGTCGCCATCAGGGTTATGACGTCACAGTCAATGGTCTTATCTGGCGAAGGTGCAAATGTGTCTGAGATGACTCCCAGGAAGTTGGAGAGCCCTTTCCTCACTTTCTCTGTGGCTCCCGTGGAACTCTCCGTCTTCGCAAAAGCAAAGAACGAACCAGTGGAGGAAAATAACAGATCTAAGTCAGAAGAACCGGAGCTGGTGACATGCTACAAAGTCTGCTACAGTGTGGACTTGGGATGCCAAAGCAAAACAACGAAAGAAAAATGTATTAGGAAGGGAAAGCTTTATGGTAAAGAGAAACAAAAACCTGTGAGCACCGTTCCCGTGCCATGCATCCCCTCCCACTCCAGTCTCACTCTGCATGTTAGCTCTTGATGCCCACTCACAGCCAGCTTCTCCTTGACCACGCTGGCAGTGGCAGCGATGGTGCAAGCCGTGTCATGTTGGACCACCTGGGTGAACTCCGTCAGGTCACGTTTCATGAACTCCAAGGCCTCTGTGGACTACAGCAGAATGACAGGAGAATACATTACAATTGGATACTCATCTCAGATGGGTGCATTGGTTAGACTGGTTGGAAAAACAGATGCTGCTGCAACCAGAAACCTCTCAGAGAGCCAAACCTGCAGCCATTGGAAGGTCCAGTTGAACAGCTACATCATTTAAAAATAGCCAGGTGTTGGATGGTTCCCAACCATCAGAGCATTTCAGCTGTCCCAACAGCTTATTAGCATGCCCAAGAGTATCTTTTAAATGTATGTGGGGATGTAACAAAGGGGAGTGCCAGGTCTAACTCCAAGAACAGATCCCAGAAACTGGCTGCAAACAGGAATGACAGAAGGAGATCTCAGACAGAATATGGGAATGACGGAGGATGACAAATTTCACCCTGAAAGGAAGGAGCAGAGCCAGATACCCGTCCGCACTGCCCCTGATGCTCCACCGCTGGCCTTGCGGCACTGACCAGGGAGGTCTGAAGCAGGCACCTTCTTGCTTTGGGCCAAATGCACTCAGGCAGACACCTGGGGACTTTCTCACTAATGGCAGCCTGAGCCCCAGAACACTGGGGACAGAGCGGAATGCTTGGCCCCTCTCCCTTTCCACAGCCTGAAGTCTGTACTGCCTGAGGTGGCTTTAGTGAGACTGCATTCTGTTCCTCTGGACCCAAAAGTTGCGCAGCTGGGTCAGAAAAAGGTGGGCCAATCTAGTGGAACATTTTATTTCCAGCAGCGCCTGAGCCAGTGCCTAGGCAGGGCATGAAGGCAACAGCCTCTCTCAGCTTCTGACACTCATGGGTGCCACACACAAAAAGGGGGTCTCGATCTGATTCAGCAACTGTCAATTGTTAGCGAACCAACAACTGGCCCACTGGGCTTTTCCTAGAAAACCGTGAATGCAGGATTTCAATACATGTGAATCCTTGTGGTGCAAGGCAGAGGAAATTAAACACACTCCTGGCTAAAAAAAAAAAAAGGGGGGGGAGCGGTTTTAGCCCCAGGCTTTCACATCTCTAAGCACCTGCAGGAGGATGAACATAGCAGCCTCAGCTATTGGGTGGTATAAAAGTGAAATAAATAAATCTGAAGAGACAGAACGCATGGCAGCAGGACATCACCACACAGGGGCAGCAGGAAGCGTAAAATCACTTGAGCACCTGTGCCGAAGCGACCCCTTCAGCAAAGGAGCTTGTACAAACACATACCAGGCGAAACTGTGCCAAAACACGAGTTCAAGTGCTCATGCAGAATGACAGGATCAGGGAACATTAGAGCCGGAAGGGGCCTATAAGGCCACCAAGTCCAACTCCCTGCTTAATGTAGGACCCCAAATTAAAGCATTCCTGACAGAGCGCTCCCCAGCTGCCACGCCAACGCCTCCGGCACAGGCGCGCCCACAGCCTCCTTAGACAATTGCTTCCACTACCCTACCGCTCTAACATCACAGCATTTTTCCTAATGCCTAGCTGGAATCTGGCTTCCTGTAACTTGAACCCCTTATTCTGTATTCTGCACTCTGACATGATGGAGAATAGATCTTGGTCCTCCTCTGCGTAACAGTGTTTCAGGTATTTGAGAAGCTATCATATCTCCCCGCAGTCTTCTCTTCTTCAGGCTAAACATGCCCAGTTCTTTCAGTCATGGGGCTTTGTTTCCAGTCCCCTGAATACCATTGTTGCCCTCCTCTGAACTTTTTCCAGTCTGTCTGTGTCTTCCTTGACATGGGGGCCCAGAAGCAGACACAGTGATCAAGATGGGGCCTAACAGGTGCTGAATAGAGGGGAACCAGAACCTTAGTAATTTGGACACTATACTTCTATAAATGCAACCTAAGAAAACACCAGCTTTTTTGCAGCCTCATCACATTGTTGACTAATATTCAACTTGTGATCTACAACCATTCCAAGATCCTTTTTTCTTGTAGTACCTGCTGAGCCAAATATCTCCCCTCCTTGTCTATGCCTTTGGTTCCCTTTTGCTAGGTGTAGAACTTGGCATTTCTCCTACTGAATTTCATTTGGTTGTTTTCAGCCCAGTACTCCAGCCTTTCAAGATCAATTTCAAATCTATTTCTAACTTCCAGGGTATTAGCAAACCCACCCATCCATAGCAAAACTCCCCAAGAAAGCATGTCATTCTCTAATACAAGGATGGGGAACTTATGGCCCTGTGGATAGTGTTGAATGACAACTCCCATCAACCCAGCTAGAGCTGATGGGAGTTGTAGTGCAACAATATCTGGAGGGCCATAGCTTCCTCACCCCAGCTTCCTCTAATCCAAGGATCTTTTCTTCATCTGTACACCACACATTTCTTGTCTCTTTGGGACAACATCACATTCAGCCGACAAGGAATAACTACCAGTTTGAGACTGAGAGAACAGGGAGTTATATAAGAAACAAGCAACTCAGATGTCAGACACATGTTTTCTTTAACTTCCATTTGAAAAAAGCTCAAGTAAACTGAGGCAAGTGTACCCCAAAGAAGGAGCCTCACCTGCAATAGCTCCAAAGATTTTGCTTGGAAACACAGTCATGCTGCTTTCAGCCATAGTTTGAAAGCTAAAAGCCTGAACTCTTTTAGGGAACTCTGAGCTCATTTTCCAACGATATGCAGTTAACTCAACAAGCGTTTGATAAAACCTATTAAAACAATTCAAATTTAATACTTTTCTCTATTATCCCACTGATTCTCAGAAAACACCTGAAGTGTGATCATGCAATAAAATATTGGCAGGTAAAGTTTCATTAGTAATTAAAGAAGCAGCTTTAAGTCAAAAGAAAGTGAAGTGTAGTCAAATAAGTTGTTCAAGGTGTTTGGCAAGTCAAATCAAGCAGGAATCTCAACTGACATCTCACAGGGCCCAGGGAGCCATTCTGGTGTTAAAATGATTTGGAGGTGGAAAGGGAAGAGCGATGGACAGGATGGCACAGAGCAAGTAGTTATTACTTGCCAGCAGGCCAATTTCAAGAGGGTGGACACCTGTCTCAACTCACTGTCAACACCCACTCCCTCACAATAGCCTGCCGGTAAAACCAGTTTCAGACCAGGAATACAAAGGCTCAGTAACATTGCTGCCGCCTTCTTTTAGAAGAGGAGACTAGCAAACAAATATAACTACACTCCCAAATAAATAACTCTCATATGGAAATAGCTCACTCATATGGCCACCTCCCACACCACTGTTGAACTAATTTTGACAACTTCTGTCTAGTTCACCAGAAGGAGAAGCTTCAGGTACCAGACCAAAAGTTGGCCCACCAGGGTTCCCCAGCACCCTTTTCCCTGCCCCATCCTCTCCCACAACTACTTGATATTTTCCAGGCTCTGGAGCAGTTTTTCACAATTTCTAAAAGGGAAAAAGGTTGATATGCCTCTCCAAAGGCTTCGTTACTGGCAATAAACGCTTTAAGCTACAACATGCTGGGTTTCGTTTTGTTATTTTTGCATTTTTATCTCTGCCCACCAGTGGAATGCACTTGAAAGCTTCTCCAACTTAAATCCTATCTTAGGGCAAAAAGAAGCTCCCCACCCAGTCAGACATGTGCGCGCGCTCTCTCACTCTCTCTCTCGGGTAAGAAGCAGATCTGCTTACCTTCTCTTTGACAGTTTGAAGGCTTTGCTGTAGCCAGCTCCGCCACCAGCCTCCATCTTCCCTGTTACAGGACAAACATATGAAGCTGCAAGTGGGAATTTTAGATTATAAACTCAAGCCAATAAGTACCTTAGGAACACCCAGGTACTGCAACAAGCCCAACAACACTCCACACTTCTCTAAAGCATTTAAAGAAAATTTTGCTTACTAGAATTCAAAAGTCCTCTTTCAGCAGTAACCACAAGATGATATCAGAATCAAAATTACATTTGTGCAATTTAAATTCCTGGGTACCAGGATCACATTTTCCGTGACTTGTGTTACATTTTAAGCACCAAGACAGCACAAGGCCCTTCCTTCTGTCAGGATATTTGCTATTTATCTCCACTTCTTCCCTCTCTCAATTCCCTCCCAATATAATTATTTAAAACAAGAGAGCAAAAATTTCAAAAAGTCAGCAGAAATTAGGTTTAATGTTAGGGTTCCATTTAGCAAGCCATAAGTAAATAGAGTCTGAGACTGTTTAGATGTGAACATGAGCTATTGTGGTAGGGTAGCAATCCAGAACAATTTACGAGTATATCCAACTGAACTTGATTTTGAGTAAATGTACTTAGCATAGGGTACACAACATTGACAAAACAGAAATGTCATATAGTAAGAAGATTAAAAAATATGCTAAGAACACAAATAGCCATCAAAAATGATAGTATTGCCTATATGTGATTGCATGAATTAACTATAATAAACCAAAACAGTTGTGATTGTTATAAACCCAATATTCTACTGTATTTGCAATGCATCTCTCAAAAAGGGCTCTTTTAGGAACAATAGCACCAGTGCCCTCAACCTCAAAAGCAAGCAATTAGAAAGATCTATTTAATTCAGGTAATTTAGTTTAGGTGACAATAAAAAATTGATTTTGTGGTATTTTGCTCTCCTCTGCATACAAGCATTTCTTAATCCAAATTTCCCTGTTCACTACACTTAAGGAACATCCCTATGTGGAAACAACTTTATTATCATTTAGCAATAATTGTCAGTAAACAGAGAATTTGAAAGCCTCCCAGCAACATACCAGGGGCTTGTCAAGGAAATCTGGGTCCAAATCCCTCTACACTAAATCGCTGGGAAGTAAGCTACTCATTTTCAGTCTGTGCCCCTCTTGGGTAGCACGTCGCTAATTAATAATTTTTTATCGTGGCAACGAGCCTGTGAGATGGGTCAGGTATCAACACAGTGTTTTCTTCATTGCTCCCAAAGAGCCTGAGCCAGATTCCGTCTAAGGGACTAACGTGTTTTTCAAGACGCTCCTCCGCTGTTCCCAGCAACGCTCCGCTGTGACCATCCTGAGGCCTTACCCCGTTGCTGAACCCTCGGCCCCCGGCCTGCGCACGAGCGCTGCTGCACCAGGCAACGACAGGCTTGCTCTTCCAGCAGAGCCTCTCCCGCCCCGGCGGCCCGCCCCTTGGAGAAGCCCCCGACCCGCTCGGTCGCCCCCTCACCGAACCCAGCGGCTCATGCTCAGGAGAGGCGTGCCAAGAGCCGAGGCGGCTGGGGAGGGAGGAGGCCCAGCGGGACCGAGGGAAAGACACTCTTCGCATGGCCAGCGAGCTCTTCGCTGCCTGGCCAGCCCCTAAGCGGCTCGACCTGCGGCCCCTTCTCGCCGCAGCGCCGCCCCTAGCGCGTCCTGTGAGGCTTACCCTTCCGCCATCTTGGCCGCCTGACGTCACCAATATTTACTGAACTCTGACACCGGCAGAAGCCCCGCCCCTTAGGGACAGTAATTGTCATCACTTCCGGCAGTCTCCTGCTTTCCCTGGAGGGAAAGACGCAGCCTCAGAGTAGTCCTGGAGATACTTTCGACTTCCTATTGAACACGGACAGCGGCCAATCACAGTTTAGCATAAGGCACCATAAAGATATGCATCTAGAGTGCCTTCCATATTTTGCGCGTCAAAGTAGCAATAGCCTGACTATTTCAGGATGTCTTTTGATGTCGCTGCTCTTTCTGTCTGTCCGTCACATACGGGCTGTCGAACGGTAGCCGGAAGTGAGGCTCTTCCCCCGCTTTAATTTCCAACCTCTTCGGATTCATAAGTTGGGTCGCCACGGCCGGCGTCGAGGGTCGAGCGAGCTGGACTGCAGCGCATGCGGGCTTCCTTGTCCTTTGCACCTACGGGGTTCGCCCCTTCTTGGCTCGGGTCGGACGGGTGGGGAGGGTGCGGGGGTTGGAAATCCCATGCAAAATCTGCATTTACTAACCTATGCAAACCTAATACCTCTTAAGTCAGCTCCTGTTTATTAAAAGGATTTGCCTTCCACTTCATTAGAGATTTGCATTTACAATCCTCCGAATGCATTACCTCCGAGCATAAAAAGCTTAGTGCTGGCTCAGGCCACCGTCCTCTCTGTGCTGGCACTGCACTTAGGGCCAAAGCTATCCAGGTGGTTCGCAGCAAATACAAGATACCCTATACAAGTATAAAATTACACTACAGAAGTGAAAACCAAACTAAAGTTAACAGCTGCTTTTCTGTTTTTGTTTTTATATAATTTTATGGAATTTTTTATTATTTTATTGTTTTAATTGTATGTTTGTGAGCCGTCCCGAGATGCTGAGGCATGTGGTGACGGCATATAAAAGTTTTAAATAAAGCAGAGGCAATAATGCAAGGACCGACATATAATAGCAGATTTAAGACAGACTCCAAGAGACTCAAATGCCTGTGAAGAGAAGAAAAGCCTTAACCTGACACCACACAGAACATAGGGTAGGTGTCCAGCAGGAATTTTCCTTTTGGGAAATTCTTTCCACAACTGACATGCCACGCAAGAAATGCCCCCCTTCTTAACCCCCACTTCGCCTTGCTTGGAAGGGTTCCCAGAAAAGTAACGTCCAGGAAGATGTTTAGAACTTTGACTGAAAGCTTTCTGGGCTTGGCATGGACTGGCAGCCAGTGAGGATGGTAAAGTTCTGGCATAATTTGCTCACATTGGCCAGTCCGTTAACAGTCCACACACCATGTAATGGCAGCCATCCCTTTATACAGGAAAGGAATTATTCATGTCTGCAAACATCCTCTGGATTCTCTTTCTGTTGACATGACGTGCATATGCTGTGACCTGGCACCTGGGCCACTCCGGCGGGGGGCAGGCCTGGTGCCAGCTGCCACTACTGCGAATGAACAGCCCAGTAACCCCCATCGGCGCGTGCTCTCAGTTCCCGGCACATGCCTGGCCAAGGATCCCACCCGGGCCTCTTCTTTCGGGCTTCCCTGCAACCCTCTTGGGTCCTTTGGGGAGCCCAGCTGGGTCCTGGCTTTACCTGGAACATTGCATGCATCCTGGCTGCCAGTGAGTGTGGGCGTGACGTAGCGGAAATTTTTGCTCACTTTGTTTGTTGCCTGAAAGGACACAACCCCCAGTCTCTAAAGACAACGCCAGCGGCTCTTGGCCCAAAAGACCTTGGTTACAAACCGGCTGCAGTGGGGGTGAAGCCTTGGCTCAAGCCACAGAGAAGCTGCACAGCACTTCCCGTTGTTCAAGGTCAGTTATCCTTTCTGTCTCTAAGGGGGTATGCAATTCTGAATAGCCTATCAGCCAGCTACACATCCCACGTCGACTTGCTTTACCTAGTCATAATATGGCCTTGCTACATGCCTGATAAGACATTCCAGCGTGCAGCCGTGCTCCGACTTCTACAATGCCTCCCTGGATGCGTTTCTCTAGACCACAGTTTTTCTTGTGCAATGTACTTCCTTGGTGCAACAATGACCGATAACGTGCTGCGCCCCTCCTGGCTCTCCTGCCTTTCTTACGCAAAGCACTTGTCCAGGTTTTGGTGCAAATAGGATAAAGGCTTGGCGAGGAATTCAGGGAAAAAGTACGGGGGAAAGGTCGGTCAGTTTCAAAGCACAAAGCAATAGGGGGTTTAAAGTGACAATTCGGTAGCAATGGCAAAGAAGAGAAAAACACGGTCTGGCTACCCCCTGCTCGATGTTGAGCTGCAGACTTGGCTCTTTAAAAACTTGTTGCCTTAGAGGTGCAGTGTCTCTGATGTCTGACGTGACCCCAGGACTGGCTGGTCCTACGTGTTCTGCACTTGCAGTGGACGGCTCTTAGCCCTCCCAGTCACAGGGCGTCAGGAGCGCTTCTGGCTTTGCCACACTACTGGATCCTCTGTAGTAAGCAAAGTCTTGGGAAGATGCAGAGGAATACAAACGGGGGGGGGGGGGGAGGGCAATGTAACCTGAACCCCTTGGAAAATCCCATGAATGGATCAGGGTAACTGTATCATAAAAGCCTGGCCTGAAAGGGGACATATGGCCAAATGAGGTTTGTTGCAACTTGGGGAGCGAACGGACCACAACACCAGCAGATTTAAGGCAATGTTTAAATGCTCCCCTGGGAGTCAGAAGGGTCCTCTCGGGCCATCTAGTCTGACCCCCGGCTCCAGCCAGCTCCACTCATGACATGCCCACCATGTGCATGTCCAGCCTATCTTTGAACACCTTCACCGATGGGGCCTCAACCACCTCCCGGGGAAACCCATTCCACACCCTCGGGGTCCTGACTGTCAGGAAGTGCTTCCTGGCATCCAAATAGAACCTTGGGTCCCTGAGCTTTGCTCCATTGGAGCATGTCCTGCCTTCCCCTGCAGGAGAGAACAGGTCTCTACCCACCTCCATGTGACATCCCCTCACATACCTGTATGTCACCAACATATCCCCTTTGAGTCTCCTCCAGGCAGTTCCCTCAGTCTCACCTCATACGGCATCCCCTGCAAACCGGCCACCAACCTTGTGGCCCTACACTGCACTGACTCTAACCTGGCTATATCCTTTCTGTAATGAGGGGCCCAAAACTGAGCACAATACTCCAGTTGCGGGCGCACCAGAGTCGTATAGAGTGGTAGTAATACCTCCCTCGAAGCCACGCTTCTGGATATGCAACCAAGGGTGGCATTTGCCCTCTTGACCACTGCATCACACTGCTGGCTCATGTTCAGCCTGCAGTCAACCAGCACCCCAAGGTCCCTTTCACAAGTGCTATTCTCCAGCCACTTGTCCCCTAATCTGTACTTATGACACCCATTCCTATGCCCCAAGTGCAAGACCATTGAATGCCATCCTGTTGTCTCCTGCCCACTTCCATAGTCTGTCCAGATCCTTCTGGATCCGGAGTACCTGCTCCTCAGTTGTGGCCACTGCCCCTGTTTTAGTATCATCTGCAAATTTGATCAGCAGACTGTTCACCCCTTCTTCCACATCATTGATGAAAATATTAAACAGGATTGGCTCCATGACAGAGCCCTGGGGGACCCTGCTTGTCACTGACCACCATCCCGATGATTCCCTACTAATGGTTACCCTCTGCTTTTGTTCAGTCAACCATGCCCTAATCCATCGGACAGTGCATTGGTCTATCCCAAAGCTTCTTAATTTCTCCACCAGGATATCATGCTGCACTTTGTCAAAGGCCTTGCTGAAATCCAGGTAAACCACATCCTCCGTGTCCCCTCTGTCTAGCCACCTTGAAACCTTGTCATAGAATTCCACAAGGTTTGTCTGGCAGGACCTGTTTTTGCAGAAACCATGTTGCAGGGCCGCCAACATTCCTTCTCTTTCTAGAGTTATTAGATCTCTCTAATAACTATTATGAGCCTTTCCATTGTCTTTCCTAGAATGGACATAATTTCACATGTCTCCTCTACTATCCTTTTTTGAAAATTGGGAACACTGACACCACCCTCCAGTCTTCTGGAATCTCATCCATTCTACACAAGGCCTTAAACCAACGGGCATGAGAGTACCCCTGCAAACTCCTGAAGTACCCTCAGGTGTAACCCATCAGGGCCTGGCGCCTTTGTAACATGCAGTGCTCTGAGGAGCTCCTCGACTTCTAGGGGGCTGACTCTAATCTGTGCCCCTAAATCCCTGGCCTCCTCCATGTAGATCTCCCCCTGCTTTGGGGAGAACACAAAGGAAAAATAGTCATTTAGCATCTGTGCCTGTTCCCTCACATCAGTCACTGAAACCCCTTCCTCCTTATTAAGTGGTCCCACTGCCTCTCTCCCCTTCCTCTGGCTATTTACATGTTGATAGAAGCCTTTTTTGTTCTTTTCAAGTCTCAGCTCATAATCAGCCTTAGCCTTGCCAAGATTCCTCTTGCAATGGGCCTCCTCCTCGAGGTATATCTTTTTGTCTACTTGCCCCAGTATACATTTCCTTCTGAGGTTCCTCTTAGATCTAATCCCTCTTACCACCTCTTTTCACATCCATGGCAGTGCTCTCCTTTGCCTCCGCACCTTGCTAACTAGCAGTATCATCAAGACTTGAACCTCCAAGACCTCCCTTTTGAGTGTCACCCACCCCTCCTGAACTCCCTTGCCTTCCAATTCCCTTTCCCCAGTCTGGTTTTCACTTGATGAAAGTTGACCCTCGTGAAGTCCCAGCTTCAAGTTCTCAACCTGCTGCTCATCCCCATTCCCCTGTTCTCAAAGCAAAGGATGGAGTGATCCCTCGCATGCAGAGCTCCCCTAATCTGCGCCTCATCTATCTGGTCTTCCCTGTTGGTCAAACCAAGTCAAGGAAATTGTCACCTGGACCCTCTG